TCAGGCTGGTTTCGAACTCCTGAGCTCAAACAATCCGCCTGCCTCGGCCTCCCAGAGTGCTAGGATTACAGGCGTGAGCCACTGCGCCCGGCCTTAATATATCTTTTACAAATGATAAAACTTATTTTTCTTTTTTTTTAGTGAAAAAGCTGCTATACTCATAGTTTTATTTCTTCATTTTGATTTTATATTTTCAGTTTTTGGCAATATTGTATAGTACCACTATTTACTAGATAGGAAAATTTTACATAAATAAATGAGATTGACTTATTTTCCTATAAAGGAATTTATTTTCTGGAGTAAAAGAAGTACTATAAGATAATTTTCATATTAATGTCTAATAACTATTGTAAGAAACGGGCTGATGAAGCCTAGTGATGCTTTGCTTGCATCTATAACTGTTATAATGCACAGTTATAAGAGTTATAAGTGAATAAGAGCCCACCTGTAAGACCAACCATTTACACCTTGTGGTTGATCAAATGGTTGATGTTAATACATTTCAGTTGTGTAAAACTTATGTGTATTTGGTTTGTATCATTTGCCTCTTAATCTGACTATAGATAAATCACTTCTTGGTAGCTCATAATGAGATAAATTGATAACTAGATGATAGTCAAATCGTTATTGCTTTAATTGTCTGCACCGATGGCTGGCAAATCTCCTGGTCCTTTCCCAAACTGTGACTGGAGATTCAATGAGTTTCCCAACCCAGCTGCCCATGCCCTGCATGTCACCTGTGTGGAGCTCATGGCTTTAGCAGTTTCAGGCAATGAGGTCGGGAATGCACTTCTAAATGTTGTCCTAAAAAGGTATGTATCTTCCTTCATGCCATAAGATTCATTGTTTATTTGTACAGAGAATGGTATTTTATTTGGAGATATTAGACAAACCTGTGGCCCCAAGGCCAGTGCACATTGGATGATGGCTGCCTTTTGGTTCCAAATCTTGTCTTTGTGATACAGGTGTAATGGAATGAGCCCTGGACAGGGTCAGGAGACCTGGGTTTGTTCGCACTTCTACTCTTTAATGGCTGTTTGACATTAATTTAGAAATAATGTTAACTTGCCCATAAAAGTAGTCTTTCAAGATCCTCTTAAAGATCAGCTTAGAGTAAGGGATGATGATTGGGGAAGAAATGCTTTTTCAAAAGCTTTAATTGTATATATATATATCATTTTTATTCAATACAAAAATCCATTGTTTTATTAGAGTGGATCAGTTGTCAATCCTCTGAATTATTTACATTCTCAAAATAAGATCCTTTGTCAACCATCTAAAATGTTTTTATAATTTCACATTTATATTCTTTTTTGCTGTCTTGCAGTCAGCCCTTAGTGCCAAGAGAGAACATTACATCATGGATGAATGCAATTGGTTTGATCATTACTGCCCTACCAGTGAGTTTATAATTAGTACTTAGTGGTGAAATACAGCTAGCTTGTTCCCTGTTGGCCAAAAGAAAAAGTTGCATATAAGATATCCTTATACAAGGATATTGTGCAAATTAACAAAATGTTTCATATTTTTAAAGTCTTTAATATTACTGCTTCTTAAAAAATCTACAGTGATGATATTTTGCCTTTCTTTATTAGATCTGAATGTATCTACATGACTTAACAAGTCTGTGACTCCTCTGATACCACCTTACCTATCCAACCTTCATCTTTACATCATAATCTGATGTACTTTTGGCCAGTTAACATGTTATGTATGTAGAGCCTTTGTTTATGCAAATAGTGTTCATTGAGACATGTTTTTGGTATTTCTGATATGTTAGTGAATAAGACATTATTCTTATTCCAGAACCCTTCTTCCTTCCATCACCTTCTCTAAAGACTACTCATTCTTTGTTAGCTTAGAGCCTCTTTCCTCAGTGAGGCCTTCCCTGACTTCTCCAGCTCTCCTGAAGTTCCCTTCTCTGATCTCCACGTGTGTCTAGTCAGCACCACACAGTTGCTTTACTGCATGGTAAATATCAGGTACTAAATGAGCTGGATAGAGTCATGTGTGGAGTACTCTAACTGACAAACACTTCTCAGGTTATTATTGACTTAATTTCACCACTTATGAAGCTGCCCAACTGCATTGTATAAACTGGATATAAACTGGATAAGTAGAAAATTTTAAAGGAGAAGAAAGCACTATTACTTTAGGCTTTGGGGCGAAATACTGCATAAGTGATATTTTTCACCAGGCTTTCCTCTGGTTTTGAAGGAGCCCTATTGGATTGTTCTTCATGATCGAATTGTGAGTGTTATCAGCAGTCCCAGCTTGACGTCTGAAACAGAGTGGGTTGGCTATCCATTCCGCCTCTTTGATTTCACTGCCTGTCATCAGTCCTACTCTGAGATGAGCTGTAGCTATACATTAGCTCTCGCACATGCCGTGTGGCACCATTCTAGCATTGGGCAACTGTCTCTCATTCCAAAGTAAGTATCACAATTTCTTAAAGAAATTGATGTTTCATTTTGTTTAATCTCATTAACAGATGAGGTGTATGTCTCATTCCTTAGAACAACTTGCAAAGCAAGAGTGTTTTAACTAAGTAGAGTTTCTTATTGATCAGAAAGCCTCTTTTATTGCAAAATTATCTGAAAAAAATTGATTTGTATGTGCAAGTAATAATCTTGTATCTAGTTTTCCATAATAATCATTTCAGCTAAGCTCAAGTGTAGTTTCCCGTTATAGTTTCAGGAGGCTTAGTCAAGTGCATGTTTTTTCCAGAATATATCCTGAAAGTTGCCTTTTGAACTGAATAACTGAGATTAGCTAGTTTCCTGATTATTTTTCTTGGACCATAAAGGTGGTATTAATTAGATTCAAATTTCTTAGGAATGGCATTTATGTTAGAATAGTTATTCTCTTTTTACTTTGAATAATTCACCTTCTGTCGTTTGGTAGTTTTACTGTTAAGAATGACTCCTAAATCTGATTATTTTATTAATCAATCAAATGAAAGTAAGAGCCAGTGGGAGATGTGAGAATTATTAGAAATGTTATTGTTACTAAAATTAAAAGGAACTTTAAAAAAATCATTACAAGTTTTGTAAATATTTGTAATACATTTGTAAATACCATTTTAACAAAATTCAAACAATTCACCTGATTTCAAATCACAAGAGATTTTTATTTTTATCTTCAAATTTTAGGTTTCTTACTGAAGTACTTCTTCCTATAGTGAAGACTGAATTCCAGTTGCTTTATGTGTACCATCTTGTAGGACCATTTTTACAAAGATTTCAGCAGGAGAGAACTCGATGTATGATAGAGGTAAAATATAATCTGGGTTTTCTGTGACATGATTACATTGTCAAACATCTGTTTAGGTTTCTTAACCAATGTTTTTAAAACTGTAGGTCATAATCATTAATAGTGAAACTAGTTTAGTAGCATCTGAGAGCGATCTTATGGGGATTAGTGTGCCTATAATGAGTTTGGGGTGGGATGTATTGAGTTGGAGATGCAGGGAGAAATACCAATCATCAAGGTTGAGAAGAAAGTTAAGGATGGAGAAGTACATTTGAGAATTTACAGTGTAAAGGAATTAATTAAAATCATGAGAATGGATGAAGTCAATCACTTCTACCAAGATACAGAGAAAAAGAAAATGAGCCAGGAATAAAACCTTAAAAGCATGAGCTACCAAATGAAGTTAAGAAAGTACAATCCAAAAGATCCCTGAGAGTGCAGTTATCCCATAAATTGAGAGATGGTGTCTAGAAAGGGATTGTCTATCTCTTAATTTTAAGAGAAATTACTAAGCTATAAAGAGAAATCTGATTTAAGTACTGTCAGGGGACATTTTGTAGTACTATGGGTTGTATTATAAATGTAGGCCATATCATATCTCCCATACACATGGAGGTATGTATGATCTGTGACAGTTCCTACAACAAACAGGTTTATCCCCAGTGTAATGGAGTCCAGCTGCGGTATGCTGAATTATTTAATCACTTTGAGCATTTAAATGACTTTACATTATTTGTTAAATAGATTGGTGTGGCATTTTATGACATGCTGCTGAATGTAGACCAGTGTAGTACCCATTTAAATTACATGGATCCCATCTGTGACTTCCTGTATCATATGAAGTATATGTTTACTGGTGACAGCGTGAAAGAGCAAGTAAGTTAAATTTATTTAAGTATTTTTTCGTGATGTTTAATTTAGAAAACTTGAACATATAATGATAGACTTTTTGTTTGGGTGTGTATGTTTCTTTTGGTTAATTTTTTTTTAAGGGAAAAGGGTTGATATTAGACCTTTTTAGGCAATGGGGACATATTATTCTAGATATTATATTAAAGTAAGTACATGTTGTAATTTCTCATACTTTTCCTCGATATTTGCAGCAGAACATCTAAAAAGACCTTGGAGGTAAATTCATACTAATTTCATTAGGGAGAAATAGTGCGACATGGCTGCTGAAAAGACCAAAGAGGTGTTGTGTTATCAATGAAGGAGGTCTTACTTTTCCCTACACTGATTAGGGTACACTTATGGGGACATTGGACAAATTGCAGCATACTAGAAGGCTGAAGTCAGGATCCTACACTAACCCTGACTAGAGACTAACTCATGAAGAGTCTTTGAAGAACATGGAATACTTAACCTGAAGAAAAAAGTCCTAGGGAAGTGTTCATGACCTCACTATTTGGAAGGTTTCCATTTGGATAGGTATCAGATTTGTTCTTTGTTGCTTCCTAGGGTATATGAATTCTGGGGAAATTGAAAGGAGGCACACTCCTATGTTGAGGAGACTCAACATAGGAGAAGGCACTTCCTAAGAGAGGCTCCTGAAAGTAGAAAAGACCTTGAATCATGGCTAAGCTTCCTATGCGTGGGAAACAGAATCTGGGCTGTTTTAGAGAGGTAGAGGTGAGACAGAAAGGGGAAGTTAAGTCCCTTTCCCCCTTTCCCAGTACTTTTCTTTCTATAATAGAAAGGAAGGCAAATTCCCATATAACCATGTGAGTCCTAGTCTACTGGCTTCTTTCCCTGGAGCTAGGCTTGGGAGGATGTTGACTTCTTTGTGCCTCATCTGCAATATCAAAGAGAATTGATCTGTTCTCTCTCGTGTAAGAAAGAAATAATTGTATCTGCTTTTTTAAAACACTGAACATGTAGGGAACCAATAAAGAAATGTTTGACATTTTTGTTTTTTTTCTTTTTTAAAATGTAGCCTTTATATTTGGGCCTAAGAAACTTTGACACAAGGGAATACAGAAAGGAAAAATTATTAGTGAACTAATCTTTCCTTGTAAGGTCAAAGAACATTTGAGTAAAGCTAAGAAAGCTGTGAAACTATTTGATGTGTTTGTCTCCTTAAAGTATTTTTAAAAAGAGTAGATCTAATATTATTTAGTTTGAATTACAAGTATAAATCAAAACCAAAAAAAAATTAGCTTTGTGAATAAATGTTGTAGACATGAGTTATTCAAAGAAATTTAAAATATAATTATGCTTCCTGTTTCTGTGAAGATGATATTTTAAAAGAATGATCAACTTGCTGGGTAGATAAAATTTCCAGTGTAAGCTATGCTAGCTTTTGATAGTAGAATGACTGGCTACTTAGCTAGGTGGGTTTGCTTTTGTGAGTGTATTCATATATATGTATATACACATGGCACATGTACAGACACATATATAATATATGATGTGTGGGGGAAGGAGAACACATTCTCTCTCATGTAAGAAAGAAAGAATTGTATCTGCTTTTGTTAAAAGACAGAACACGTAGAGAAACTTCTCATCCACCCCACTCCACTCCTTAGTTCATTGTCTCAGGATATTACATAAATCCTGCTTTAAAGGTGGGAAGTTGAAGTTCTCTGGTTAAAGTAGTTTTTAATATGTTTTCATTTCTCAGGTAGAGAAGATTATCTGTAACTTAAAACCAGCTTTAAAACTCCGTCTTCGATTCATCACGCACATTAGCAAGATGGAGCCAGCTGCGGTGCCTCCGCAAGCCGTAAACAGTGGGTCTCCAGCGTCTCAGGCTAATCAGGTGCCAGTGTCTTTACCTGTAACTCAGTGAAGCCAGAGTATACCGTGGAGAAAATGGAAATACATCCATCTTTGAAAGCGGACTCCAACCTATTAAATCTGAATGTGATCATGCTACCGTGATGTAGTAGAAGGAGCAAAGATGTTCAGATTGTTTCAGTTTGATTCAAATGGTGAATCTGTTGACACTTTGTGACTCCCATCTCCCTATCTATATTTTTGTCCCTAAGACATCAAGTAAGCTACATGTCATTCATATTCATGACAATTTATTAGAGCTACCTAGGAACATAACTTTTACTAGGCACTTTCAATCTTCCCTATTCTACCCATTGTTTTTGTTTGTATTTTTTATTAATGACATATTCAGTTGTCAGATGTGTCATTTTAAGGGTACTACACATGTAAAACAGTTATTACAAATACTTTGATACATAAGCCTCCTTTGGTATATCTTTGGAACAATAGAGATTTTTATTCAGTAAAGGACTCTAGATTTTGTTGCGTTGTAGGAGCAAACAAGGTTTCATATTCTTTTAATTATGGCTTGAAATTTTATTGTAAATTTTCAATGTTTCTATCAAGATCAGTTGGCCATTTTTTGCCTTTGCCGTGGACTTAAACTTACCGTATGAAATGAGTTAGAAGCCTCATAAGAAAATAACATATCTGAAATGTATAAACTTAAATAAAATCATGTTTAAATTGTTGATTCTCCAATCTGTTATTAAAAATGAATTAATTGCTTTTGTAGGTTGACACTCTCACCTGACAGATGATGTAATTCTTTGAATTTTTATAACCTTAATATTTTTAAATATTTATATTTCTAAATATAGTTTACATTTTGGCTCTTTGGCTTATTGTTAATTTTGGGGGGAAATGGCATTGTGAAAGACTTGAAAACTAATTAGTAAGTTCTGTTGAATGAATAAACTGTATGACTGTTTCCTGACTCAGTTTGAACATGTAGCTGCTGTGTGTCTGGCAGTGTGCCAGCTGGGTTTCAGCAAGGGAATGGGCTATTCTATGGGTCCTACACTACGGTTGGTGACTGAGATTGGCCTAGGAATTAAGAGTTCATGATTTTTTAAAAAAAGAATTAGTGAATTTAACTAACTATATTTCAAATTCATATTTCCAAATACAGTCTTCCTAGAGCTTTATTTTCTTTGTAGTTCATATTATTGCAATCACTAAATAATTATCAGCCATGCCGTGAGTCCAGCTAAAAATTTATATAATTGTATAATTTTTCCAGACTAATTTTAAAATTCCCCAAAAATTTTATGCTAGCTATGATTTCAAGTATTAATCTTAACATAGTCTCAATATATTGTTGCCGCCTTGAGGACTATATTGCTTTGAGATCCTGGAATGGGATTATTGTGACACTTGTATTGCATAAACAGAATAGAAGGTGGAATTCGATATTATCAATTTCCCAAGTTTATGACATTCCAATTTATTAAAAATTCAATTTTCCCTCTCTAGCTTAAAAAAATGGGAATATGATTTTCCCTGGATACACTTTTAAATAGAGGACAGAAACTTTATTTGGGTTTAGGATACAGGTGAGGGGAAAAAAATGTCTTTGTATTTATTACATCCTAAAAGTTTTTCTTTTTGAAAGTAACTAGTAAAGTTACTAGTCACTTTAGAGTGGCTCTGTCCAATAAGACTTTCTGCAATGAAGGACATATTCTATACATGTGCTATCCAATACAGTAGTGAGTAGCAACATGTGGCTATTGAGCATTTGAATTGTGGAACTGAACTTTTTATTAAGGTTTAATGTAAGTGACCACATGTGGCTAATGTATTGGACTATGTACACAATGTACTCTTGCATAAGATCCATCATAATTGCTCCTATCTAAAAGTGATTCAATAAAATGTTTATCTTTGAAAGGCCTAGCAGTTAGAGGCAACAGGTAAGTTTAAAGTTCTGAGTTGCATGTGAAAAGTCAGATTGTAGGAGGTCTTTAACATATAGCTATTAAAACACCACCACAATAAAAATCCTTTCCTGGAGTCTACTTTATTACAGAGTCCCTTGGGGTTTTTACATAAGTTGGGGGCAAAGGGAAAAGTTTGTTTTCCTTATTTTGTTTGCAGCTTACTCTCATTTGTTTTTCTGCTTTCCTCACTGCGTTCCAGAGCCCAGGTGAGTGTTTAGAATGCAGCTTATGAGACATACTGTAATTGCAATGAGTGAAGGCCGAAACGTCTGAAAGCCACAGATAATTTTAGGTGAAATCCTCATCTGAATTAGTAGATCTTACACACAAAATAGCAGTTTGATTTCTCTGGCTCCTGAGTAGAGTTTTGGGAATATCTTCTGCTTCCCAAAAGCCTGCCTGAATAGCAACCATGCTTAAAATATCAACCAGTATCAAGTTTGAGGTTTAGAAAAAGTAAAACATGGACATCTAATGCTAATGAACTTGGAGATTTCCCAAAGGTATGATTACCCATTTTGCAGTTGAAGAAACAAGAGCCTGCGAATTTAACACATTATCTCCTATGTGAGTTGTATTTAACTCACGTTAGTTTTGATCCCAGGGCTTCGTGAAGCATATGTAACTCACACATCTCACTTTGGGAGCTGCGTGAACTATTTTTCAAGTTGCATATAACTCACACATAGAAAAATAACAAATTTTTCATTAAATTAGAACGGATTGTTTTGTTTTCAAAGTTTTCTATTTTCATAATAAAACACCATGGCCTCAAGGAAAAATTTTTTTTTTCTAGTGTGGCAGTCAACATGTTAACTTCACCAAGGTCTTACAATGTTTTGGGGATGATGATCTCATTG